GAGTCTATGAGACCCACACAACTGAAGGCAGACAGGCCTCTTAGTCCAGCATTTGGACTTGCAGTTTGGCTTTGCAAGTGCCAAGTTGCTTCTAAAAGATTGGGTCCCAATATATCTAAGGCTAGCCCTGTAGAGAAGACAAGAGAGGTTTTTGAAGTACAACATATGGTCCAAGCAATAAAAATGTGTATTCACTTTCATTAATGCTTTCTTGATGACAATATCAAGCTTTGTAACACTTAGCAACTGAAGCTGCTAATGAGATTATATTTCAAATGTCCTTCCACTAAACAGAAACCCACCCCCTTCAAATTCAATATGACCAGTTTTTGTTATCAAGACCTATTAGCTTGTCTGTGAGTATTTGGTTACATTAGCCATGAGGCTTTGCTTCTTTTCTTAGCTGATTTAGCAAGGAAGTAATATTTCATTAACTAGTGGGGTGTTTGCTCATAGAACTATTGCTCCACCCACACAGTAGGATTTGGGCATTTTCAGTACTAGTTCAAGCACAGGTAAGCTTGTGAGAAACTTCAAGCAAAATGCTGCTCTTAATTACACAGGTGACTTCGATGGGAGCTGCACCCATCTTGTCTGCACAAGAAAGTTTAACCTAAGATGTTAATTTAAACCCATTTATTTAAACTGGTGCAAACTGCTGTGCCTTGGCACTCTTATTTCTGTGTAAGAGTGGCTTTTCTAGTTTAGTTTAGGCTTGGTCTACCCTTTAAAGTTATATCAGTATAGCTGAGTCAGTCAGGGGTGTGTTTTTTTCACACTCCTGGCCAGCACAGCTATGCCAACATAGATGTGTCTACACTGGAGGTTATGTCAACGGAAGAGTGCTTCCATCAATGTAGCTAATGTCACTGGGGGAGGGAGGTGGTGTTTCTCCAGGGACAGAATAACCCCTTCTGTTGATATGGCCTGCATAGCACAGACATAACTATATCTGTAGGGTCTCAGTAGTGTAAATACTGTATACCCTCAGGTTGACTGGGAAGAGGTTTAAGCTGTTCTCTATACCCAGTACCTCTGACCCCTGATCTTCAGGGAAGAAAACCAGGGTATATAACAGCTTCTTGAAAATAACTGACTTTTATTTAACAATAGAAAATATATATTTTAACTCCTCATATTTCCCCCCTCCAAGATGAAACAGAAAAGTAACTCTGTAAACACCATTCATACATACATCTATGAAGTAACTTAAGAGTTGGATAACATTAAACCTGTACCTGAATGAGGGCTGGGATTGGCATTGAGGCAGATGTCTCTGGTCCATGCCCCTGATTGGATTCTTAAGACCTAAAAAAAAAGAAGAGAGAACAAAGACATTAGTGAGGTGGATATCTGCACATATAGCCCTCAAACCAATTTTAGCTCCCAATAGCCAGAAATAAATCTCAGCTCTCTGCTTAGCTCTTCCTTGGACCACTCATGGCCTCACTAAGCACTGTAAATTCACTGGAGAAACCACTGCATGAGGAGTGGGATTGACTAGGCTTCATAGAGTCATCGAGAGGGATGGCCTCTCTCTGGATATGGGCCTGGATCCCTCCCGTGTCTGGATCTCAGAAGGAAACATAGCAGAAGGAATCTGTTAATTCAGCAATAAAACATAAACCAATCCCCACTCCACAAAATTGAAAAAAAAAATTTGAACACAAATAAGTGCCTTGCCTCCTAAAGTACCCCTGCTCAGAGATGGTGGGACTCTGTAAGACACACCACACACAGAATTTATTGGGCAGTGGGTGCAATAGCAGCTGGTGGCCTTCTGCCCTGGTATCCACAGGCAGCTGTGTGAGAATGCATTTGTGCATACACGGGCAGGACAGAACCTTTGGAACGGACCACTGGAACAAGCCACTGAAGAAAACAAATATAGCGTAATGTAAACAGATGCAAATATATATCTATATACCTCTGCTACAAATACACTGCATACATACATTAGAGAGGCAAGGTGGGTGAGGTCAGATCTTTTATTGGACCAACTTCTGTTGGTGAAAGAGAGGCTTTTGAGCTTACACAGAGCTCTTCTTCAGCTCTGTATAAGCTTGAAAGCTTGTTGGTCCAATAAAAAAAATGACTTCACCCACCTTGTCTCTCTAATATCCTGGACCATCACAGATACAACAACACTGCAAATTTATATTAGAGGTACATACATGTATATCTGTGAGATTATATAACTCCCCCTAAACTTTAATTCCATCTTCATGTAGCTTTTGTTTGGGAGCATGTAACTGCTGTATACTTGTCAGTCTGTTACCATTTTATGCACCTATTATGGGGAGCACAATACACAGGTTTACACAAAATGGGCTGGGGGATGCACTGAACAGTTGCAGGAGCTGACAGTACGAGAAACACTTAGCCTTTGACTGGTAAAGCTCTCATATCTACGTGAGAGTTGGAGGGCTAGACATTCAAGGATGACTATCCTAAGCTTGCAGGCTCTTATCAGGATTTACACACAGCATTTGTTCATAAAGTAACCTCCCTCCCCATATCATGCTTCCCACTTCCAAGGAAGCCCTCTTCTAACTTCACTTTTCGAAGTGATACCAGTCATAAAAAATAGCTGGGAAACAAAGTATTTGGTGCATTTCCAGTGGATTAATTTTATATCTCAACTATTTCTTCATTAGTACTTATCTTTCCTCATCCTTCCTGGCCTGTGGGATTCCTTATTTGAGGGGCTATGATGACATATTATCATGGGAGGATAGTAATGTTACTAGAGGGCTATTTGCTATCAAGGGAGTAGTCACACCACCTGATGTTGCTGGGGGACCTGCTAATCTCTTACTCAGTTCTAGCAATAAACTCTCACCCTTATGGATAACCTATCATAAAGCCTATCAAGAGCCTAAGCTACGCTCCACACCTGCCTCTGATTTTTTAAATGTAAGTAGCTTTGAGGTCAATTGCTTTTGAGGTAAATGAAAGGTAACAGGCTTCCCCTTGCATTAGGAGACATTATGGTAATGTGTTTTCAGCAGAAACATGCATAATTGTATGCTTTTATAACATTCCCCAAATAACCAGGGATACTCGAAGTACTTAGGAATGGTCTATCAAATGGCTTGACAGTCTTATAACTGACTTCAGACTACTTTAAAGGGCCAGTATTAAAAATTAATTCAGAATCATAAGAAATCACTACCATTTACAGTGAATTCATTGAGTCCCATCCTGCCTACATCTACACGGGTAAAACTCCCATTGTAGATGGCTCAAGTTACCTAGGAGAATTTTTACTTATTATGGACCAGATTGTCAGCTGGTATAAATTGGTTTAATTTCATTGACTTCAGTGAAATGACACATTTACATCCACTTATTATCTAGCCTTATTTGTTTATTGCTGACAAAGTGCTTGGCACTGGCCAAAAAAACAAAAAGTCCCTTCCCCAAAGCACTAACTGTCTGAAAGACAAGCCCATGCAGAATCCAGGAAGAAGGGTAACTTGAGTTATAATATATTTATTTCTGATGGACATTACAGAACCAGTGGGTTTTTAGGAGGCAAAAATATAGTTTGAGTGAAGAGGGATTAGGAATACATTACACGGAGAGGTGACAGCAAGAAAAGTTTACGTTCAAATCCAGTTTGAGAGATTTCTGTGGAGTTGCACCCTCTTATACCTGTGGTGAATTTACCCCAAATGTGTACCCCACATGTGTACCCAAATATGCACATCACCTGTAGAGGGAAAACTTAAAAAGGCAGTCAGACAAACATTTTGTTGTACATGCTGCATGCCCATTATCAACTTATCATATTATTGGAACAATAAATTATGTGAAATATTTTGACAATAATAGCACATCATGTTTAGGAAGCAAGTCAGAAAGCACACCTCCTAATTCTAGTGAAGACAAGCCCACAGAAGGAGTGTGCAAGGAGGTGGTGGTATAGGCAGCCTCTGCACCTCTTGTACACTGGGGAAAGGGAGTGTGTGTGTTGAACTGACTCCAAATGAGCTAACATGGAGGTGATTGTTGGGCATAGGCCAGGCCAGGGCCCCTGTGATCTTCATTTACATGAATTCAGTGGTCCCAAGTCCCCACACAAGGGACACTAAGGAGCTAGCATAGAGTGTTTGCTGCAGAGACCTGCACCTACCCACGGTTCCAGAAGTGGACTCTAACACTCCTCTATCATCAAATTCCCTGTTCAGTTATGTGGGTTTTGCACTGGGAGATGTACATTTCTTGGAACACCCTTGTAACGTGTGCAAATAGCATTATTTTTTCTTTACAGAAGGTCAGACAAAGGCACAGGGAGTATGTCTACATGCAGACATGGATTTAGAGTTAGTGGGGCCCTGTGTGCAGCTTCATTTTCGCCCCCACCCCCACCCCGCCGGCACCCAGCCAAGAAAAAGAACATTCTCTCTTATCTTCCGCCTCCCGTTTTTAATTCTTTTTTTCCTTCATCCTCCTCCTATATCATAAGTAATGGGAAGTAAATGAAAATAAAGTGAGATACCTTGATTGGGGCAGGGGGTTGGTGTGCAGGAGGGGGGCAGGAGGGCAGCACTTACCTATGGCAGCACGGCTCCCAAAGCGACGGGCACACCCCCCTTCGGCAGTGGCTCCTAGGCGGGGGGAGGAAGGGTGTCTCTGCATGTCACTGCCCACAGGCACCGCCCCCACAGCTCCCATTGGCCACAGTTCCTGGCCAATGAGAACTGCGGAGTCGGTGCTCAGGACAGGGGCAGCATGCAGAGATACCTCCCCCACCAGGGGCCGCAGGGACATGTCGGCTGCTTCCGGCAGCGAAGTAGCTTGGAGGGAGAGAGGCAGAGCGGACAGAAAGCCGCCTTATCCCTGCTGCTGGCACGTCTCTGTGTGCCCCTTGGGGGGGGGCAGCAGGTCTCCGTGGGCTGCCAGGGGCACGCAGAGATGTGCCAGCAGCCAGTCGCTTTTGGGAGCGGAGTGGGGCCACTGGCCACGGCATGCAGGCAGCCTGCCTGCCTGCCTAAGCCCTGCTGCACTGCCAGCCGGGACTCGGGGGCAGGTTGTCAGATATTTGTCCTGCATTTTGGGGGACCCCCTATTGTTGGGGGCCCTGTGCCACCGCATGATTTGTTTCATGGTAAATCTGCTCCTGTCTACATGGCAAAAAAAATCTACCACCCAAGGCAGCGAGTATTAGACCCTAGATCTACAGACCTGGGCTCACGCTACAATGCTAAATATAGCTGTGTAAAGGAGCCCACCAGTGGGCCAAAATGGGTGCCTCAAACCTGAGGTTGGAGAGGATTGCGTAGCAATGCACCTCCATCAACTCCCAAAACCTACCAACTCCCCAAAAAACAGAGCACAGAGTTGCAGACGATGGATTTGCCAAGAATATCTGAAAATTTAAAAAGATACCTCACTAAGAAGTGTGTTTCTGACTTGCCAAGTGGAGAGACCATTCAGATTCCAAGTGAACACAGGGCAGCCAAATCAGGCAGAAATGTTGGATCCAAGGAAATCAAATGGCTACCAAAGCAGACATTCTGGAGATGATCTTTGAGTTTAAGGCCATGAAAAATGATCTTATGACCAAACTTCTCTCAGTAAAGAAGGAAGTTGCTGATTTGGAAGAGAGAATTGTTGTGCTAGACATTGGCCCATGAGACACAAGTAAGAGGGAAACAGAGCTGCATTACAGTGATGGTTCAGAAAGAGAGAGATGCGTCTTAAATTGGATGATATAGAAAACAGATTGAGAAAGAACAATATCAGAATTAAGGGGCTGCCTGAAAATGCTGAATGAGGAAACCCAACCTGGTATGTAAAAACTTTAGTTGTGGAGTGGTTATACCTGAGCTCTCTTGAAGAGAGCACATAGGATGCTATTTCCCCTGCTTGGGCCTCTGTGATGGTGTATACAAACCCCACACTAGAGAAGAAGGGGTAAGGAGCTGCTCCTGACCCAGACAGCCCTCCCCTCACTGCGCTTGCAAAGCCTGCACAAATTGGAGGGAGAGCTTAATAAGGAAAGCAGAGTAGCTCAGTGGCAGGCAGACAGGGATCTCTCCTGACCTCTAAATGCCTGGGAAGGAGCACCACAAGAATTTTTGCTGCCTGAGGCTTGAAGAAACTGACCTGGCTAAGCTACAAAGGAGGGACTGGTGACTTCTGAAGATCAGAAAACATTAATTTCATGTTCAGTTAGTTACTTTACCCTGTGGGAGAAGGGGGCACTGGTAGGAAGCGATCCAGGGAGGCAGCTACATAGCACTCCAGGTGCTGGTTTTAGCTGCCTGCCATTGGGCCCTGGATTGGAGCCTGGTACAGAC